AAAACAAAAATAATAAAAAAATAAAGAGTACAGTTGTTTTCAACATTGATAATAATGAATGTTAAAAGTTATCTTAAATTGTAAAAAAATATTTTAAATTATAATAATATTTCATTACTGTTTTACTGTATTTTTTATCAAAAAAATTTAGCCTTGGTGAGCATAAAATACTTTTAAGAACATTAAAAAACGATTACTGACCCCACTTTTGAATAGTAGTGTAAAAAAATTAAAGAAACTTAACTTGTAAATGTTCAGCCTATGTCAAGTTAATAATTTAGCATATTATTTGGTCTATTAATTTCATGGTAATATTAATACATTTCAGTTTTATATCTTACTCGGTCCTGGTACTGTGTTGAGGTGCCACTTTTCTAAAGCAAAATCAGTTCAGATCCACTGTTATAGCAAGAAACTAATGAAAGTGGTTGTTTATCAGTTCAACTTTTTTAAAGGCCCGAATCAACATGAATCAACAGTATATTTCCAGTTTTTCATCTTTGTTTACGTGCATACTTACATCTTTTATTTCCGTCTCTTCTGTTTTGTACCCAAAAAAGAGCTAAAATGGGAGGTGCAGTCAGTGCTGGGGAGGACAATGATGAGTTAATTGACAACCTGAAGGAGGCCCAGTACATTCGCTCAGATCTGGTTGAACATGCCTTCAGGGCCATTGATCGTGCTGACTACTATCTAGAAGAATTCCGTGACAGTGCCTACAAGGATCTGGCCTGGAGACACGGCAACATCCACCTCTCTGCGCCCTGTATCTACTCTGAGGTGATGGAGGCTTTAGACCTGCAGCCTGGCTTGTCCTTTCTTAACCTGGGCAGTGGCACAGGCTACCTCAGCACCATGGTGGGACTTACACTGGGTGAGTTCATAGAGAATATGAAGGCTTTCATTTTGCTCTGCCATCATTTACTCCCCCTATGTCGTTCCAAACCTGTATGACTTTTTCTTCTTGGGAACACAAAGTTATTTCGAAGAAAGGTAACTAAACCGTTTTTTATTCTCATTGAATTCCATTGTGTTTTTTTCATACAGTGGAAATCAATGAGAACCAAACCTGTTTGGTTACCATCATTCTTCAAAATATCTTCTTTTGTGTTCAAGAAAAGAAAAATTATACAGCTTTGGAACGACATAAGGGCGAGTCCATGAGGACACTTTTTTTTCTTTATCGCGTTTGAGTTATTAACATTGAACCCTGTTTTTTCTTTCAGTGCATTTTCTTCATATGCCATAATGTGCTCATTGAATTTTTCTGTCATATTTCCAGGAGCATTTGGTGTGAATCATGGTGTGGAATTACATGAAGATGTTATAGAATATGCTTATCAGAAGCTGGACTTCTTCATCAAGACAAATGATAGTTTTGACAGGTGTAGTAACTTTTGGGTGTTTACTTTTATATTAATATAAACTCATTCCCTTGTTCAAAGTGTAGTGTGCAAAATGAAGTGACTGACATTGTCAATATTTTTGGTCTAGGTTTGAGTTCTGTGAGCCTTCCTTTGTGGTGGGCAACTGTCTGGAGATTGCCCCAGAAAGCAGGCAGTATGACAGGGTTTACTGTGGTGCAGGGGTCCAGAGAGAACATGAAGACTACATGAAGAAGCTGTTGAAGGTTGGGGGCGTCTTAGTACTGCCTCTGGAAGAAAAGGTGAATAATTGAAAGGCAAAGCAATTTTACAGTACATCTGGTTTCAGGTAATCCAGGAGAGATTGTGTGTGAAATTTATATATGTCTATGCATTTCTAATTTGTTCTAGCTCACTAAAATTACTCGGACAGGATATAACACATGGGAGACGAGAAAGATAATTGCTGTGTCCTTCGCACCACTTGTGCTCCCTAAACAAAGAGAAAATGGTAAACTGAGAGCAGTGTCTCTACGTAAGTCACCTGCTGTATTTTAAATTGTTTAATTAAATTAGATTATTGTGGCCTTTTCTTTATTTTGGTATATTAAATTAGAAAAATACAAAATAGAAGCAATTTCACTTCAAATATTGGATATTTGAACAGCACTGTACATTACGGTTCAAAAGTATTAAAAGAAAATTAATTTAGCAAGAATAAAAAGTGTCAGTAAAAACTTACATTGTTACAAAAAATGTTACATTATCATCATTCATATATGTTAGAATGCTGAAAAAATTAATATGGTTTCAACTGTTTTCAACATGATTGCTGAAAGATCATGTCACGAGTCATGACACGTGTCACTGAAAACTGGAGTCATAGCTGCTGAAAATTCGGCTTTGACATCACAGGAATAAATTACATTTTAAAATATTTTGAATTGTAATATTTTACAATATTACTGTTTTTACAGCATTTTTAATCAAATAAATGCAGCCTTTGTGAGATAAAAATAATAATAATAGAAATAATAAAAAAAATACTAGATAAAAAAAACAAATCTTACCAACCCAACTTCTGAACTGTAGTGTATATTGAGTATAATGATAATAGGATTGGTGTATATGCATAAATGCAGTCAAAAACCCCCATGTTTCATGCTGTCCAGCTGCCATGTTCGAGGTGCGGAGTCTTCAGGATCTGGCCCGCATCTCCATCCGTCACAATCTCAAGAAATCCGGGTCTGGATCCTTGCCGCTACCACGGAGAACTGGATTGAAGCCAAGAAATCACCTTAAACAGAGACGAGAGCATCGTGACACCCCTCTTCTGACCAATAGTTATTTGTTCATGAGTCGCTTGATTCCCGGACCCATGGACAACAACAACAACCAGTCATCAACAGACAATGAGGATGAAGATGAAGATTGCAGAAGGGTTTGTGAACAACTAGAAGAGAAAGAAGAGAATGAGAGAAGGAATGAGGGCAGTGTTTTGGTGATAGAGACTCCAAACAACAACCAGTCATCCACAGACAATGAGGATGAAGATGAAGATTGCAGAAGGGTTTGTGAACAACTAGAAGAGAAAGAAGAGAATGAGAGAAGGAATGAGGGCAGTGTTTTGGTGATAGAGACTCCAGTAAACCTCTTAAGAGAGAGGATCCTTAGCCTGCCTTTGCCAGAGCCTCTCAAGATGTATCTTCTTTACTACAGAGAGAAGTAGATTTCTCCTTCCAGTGAATAGTCTATTCTAAACTACTCGCATCTACCTAGCACTGTCACATCAAGAATTCTCTTTTTGCATTATCCTGATAACCTTTCTCATAGAATTTCACCACTCTTTGTTCTGCCAAGTCAGGTGGCAGAGATACTTAATTTTATTTATCTATAAAGGAAAATTCCCAATGCTGGATCTGGATTCATGGTCTAGAATGCTAACCATTAATCATGGAATCAAGAAACAGTGAAAACTGATTTATTAATCTACGTTTCATGTTATTTGTGCAGTGACATTTTCAAATGGACATTAGTGACTAACAGTTTACTAAATCATAAATGCAGTGTATTCTCTTGTTTTGTGAGTTATGTAACATCTAGTTTCAGCTCATAGATTTACTATGAAAAGTGAAAATCTAAATATTCTTCTGGTGTATAGATTTGTAAAAAAAAAAAAAAGTCAAATTGTGTGCTGAATTACGCTTATATTGTGTGAAAATACAATGGCACGTTTAAAAATGTGATCGTCCAACATAATCAGTGTCGTACAATTTCAGGGATTTTAAGATTAAAAACTATTTGAAATAGTCTTGGGTTTGTACTGTTTTCAGGGCCTTTGCATTTGCTTTTTGCTATATAGAGGTATAAAAGGTATAGTCTATAGTTGTGTAACAAGTTATAAAATGGTGCTCTGAATTGTGGTAATGCTCTGATGTGCACTTTGTCCAGTGATGTAGAATGCACTAAATGAAAAAAAAAAAAAAAAAATTTTTGAATTATACATTTATATCTATTTCATGACCAAAATCCTTCACTTTTAAAATGATATTATTTTCATTATGCAAATGAAAGTGTGCATGTGGCATACAATTAACAATGAGGTGCCAAATGTAGCAAAGACTAGAGGGTCCAAATTGACTTGTAAATCAATTTAGTTTTTGGAGAACACAAACCAAAGTATTATGGATGTATTTTGAAACAAACTCAGACCGTTGTCTCTGCAAACATTTAATGTAAAATTAAATAAATTCTAAACGCTGATAAATATTGGGCTCACATGTGAGACAGATTAAATGATTAAATGCATAATTTAGATTTCTGAAAGTGCGGACCATACTTGTATGCATTATTATGAGGGCTGAAGACAATAAATACTCCCTAAATGGGTGACATTAAAAGAAATATCTGCACATGCTATGGAAACAAATAACAATGATACCAATGTATCACTGTGATGATACAATGATACCTTTTTTCCCCAAACACAACTTTGGCCCACTTTACCCTCAGTTAAAAAAGATCAAATAGAGAAAATACGCTAACTTTCAGCTTTATTAGATTTGAATACTGTGCTTAACCGCCAAGTACAGACTGGACTTCACTTTGGATAAGAAAATAAAAATGGAAACAAAAAGAAGAGTGAAAGCACTTACAAAATAACAAAAATGTATTTTCTTATTTAATGATTAAAAAAAATAATCTTTGCAAGACATTACACACAAAATTCTTCTGAAGCTCTCTTCACTGAGAGGAATTCAAGAGAAGAAAACAAACAGGTACGCCACCATTTTCACACTGAACTGATGACTGGTGTCAAGAAGATGAGGTAAATGTTTTGTTGGGGGAAAAAAAGGCACAATTTACAATCAACCGTGCCATGTAAATTCATGTAATAATACCAATAATAATTACAACAATATCAATATTATTGTAATCATAATAATAATAATAATAATAACACCATAACAGCAATAGAAAAAATATGCAACAAAAATACAGACTGACTTTTTTTTTATCTTACAAGTAATCTTCCAGCCCTATTGTATTGCCTGGCCCATCAAAAAAAAGAAAGGAAGGAAAAAAAAAAAAAAAAAACCTGTGTCCCATTT